ATAAGATTGCTAATTTGCAGTAAATGGTAAAACGAAGAACAAGTGCTGGTTTTTCAAAAAATCAAACTGTGCTGCAAAAATAAAATTATAGCCCACTCTCAATAGGTGTATAGGTATGAGTATAAGCGAGGAAGCATGAATCATGTTGCAAGCATTTGTGAATAGCCTTTGAGCTATCACTCTCAAGCGAAAAAAGAGAAAGGCACCAGAGCGAATGGTCTTAAGTCCATGTCTGCCCCTGCTGGAGTACTTCTTTGAGCTTTCTCTTACATCGCTCCCATGGGGGAAGAAGGCATTATTTATTTATTTATTTATTTATTACATACGCTCTAGGCGTTCCTTAAAAAGGCAAAAACACACAGTTGCTCATACTCTAATACCACGTTAATTCATTATGTAATTTGGGTCTAAGCATTTGGACTAGATTATTGGAAGTGTGATGAAAGCCTGTTTGTGACTGCTCTAAGACTGTAGTCAACAGAACTGAATTAGTGTGTTTTGTGGAGATGGTACCCATGCCCCCTTTTTTGCCAGCAAAAATTTTGATTCAAACAAGCAAACGGTTTGATGGTTGATAAACTGTCTAATCTCACCAAACCAGTATGCCGAGGAGAGTGCAGTGACTCAAATGGATAGCAGTAAGGATTGTAGAGAATGAATGACTCATATGTGAGTAAGATCATATTAAGCTAGTGTAATCTATGGAGTGGTAATCATACCACCTCGTTTGCCAGCAGAAAATGCTCTTGCTAAAATAAGCAAAACGGGGCTCGGTTGATGAAATAGTACTAAAGAACCTTGCCCAAATGATTCCGGGGAGAGTCCAATGACTCCGAAAGAATATCAATGAGTTTCACTTTTTATGTATCAACTAGAGCAAGTCAACAAGCTGTACTGATAGAAATGGGCAAATTTTTAGACCTGAATTACCATAATGACAAAACATGGATTAGTAAGACATGTAAAAAGAAAATGTTACTAAGAAAAAACACAAGTTGTCGTAATGGAAATTGAGTTTGTAGTTTAAAAACTCCGTGCACTCGAGTTGAGTCAAACGCATAAATAAGGGCAGGACGGGCAGTGATCATGAAGAAGTTAGGATGACCATTGGAATGAACGACACATATCCACGTACATTATAGATGTCATAAGCTCTGTTCAACCTGAAGTATTTCATTTAAATCAACTTAATAGATCATAAGTGCATGTGTATAGTATTATGAATGAGGTCGTGAACACCCTATAAGTGAGGCTTAATCCAGATTGCGAAAACAATTGAAAAGGGTTTGATTTTTGAAGAAGCCAGTCCTTGCACATGTCAATAAACATGAAACAGCTGAACTGAAACTAAAAAATGAAGTAATAGTAAGAAAGTTTAGCTATTTTTGAATTATTTCACTTGTAAATCAAGTGTACTAATTCTACATTTGAAAGTAGCTACATTCTCGGCTTGCAGCGTATTACACGGTAGTGTACAAAGCCATCGTGGAATCCTATAAAAGAAACTGTTGAACACGAAACGAAAACGTTTTCTTTGAATACATGAATAATAAATGTGAAACCTAGCATTTCTACTAGTCGGTCTGAAAATCCAATATCTACTCGCATTGGTTCTGAGCTCTTTGCGAATAAATCGGAAGGCAACGACACCCCCGTGGGGGTGATCAGCATGCTCGATTACACCCCTCTGCCAAATTCCAGCCCCTTAGCTCAAATTTTGCAAAAAATCGATAAAATCGACATCGATCGATAACGAAAAGTGGACTGTGACACCCGCCGGGGCCCGAAGTGTATGTGTGCCAAGTTTGGTCCGGATCGGTTAAGAAATGGAATTTTCTATTCGGAACATATGTACAGACAGACATACAGACAGACATACAGACAGACATACAGACAGACAAACAGACATTCAGCTTTATATATAAGATATCTAGCCTTGATTCCAGCTTTTCAGCTGTGCCGGTCTCTGTTTTGATCGTATCCACATTCACGACAACTGTTAAATTAGGATCAGACACTCGTGGTTGAAGCCTGTGTGCGGCAGAAAAGTGGGAGGCCCCGACCTTGTGCATTAGAGGCCTTTTTTGCCATTTTCGCCATCTTTAGCGTAGATTTTCGAATTCAGCGTAGCGAATGGGTTCAGGTAAGCACAAAATCTCAAAACCGACTTCTTGCCCATACACTGCCTTTTAGTTCCGCAGGAAGTCCGCTAACAAAATGAGAAGTCGCGTACAAATCGACAATTTTGCGCGACACCCAGTTTTTCCAAACTTTCGGAGTTATCCCGAATTATATGAAGCGGGAGAAAACTGGGACACGGATTCATTTTGATGAATTATATGAAGCGGGAGAAAACTGGGACACGGATTCATTTTGATTTACCTTTAATTCTTCAAATCCAGCGTATACCTTACATTTACTGTGAACTTTCGAACGGCGATGTACGCGTTTCTGCCCTTTTCAATCCGTTGCAGAACACAACCAGAAGAAGACGTCGAAAGTGTAAAGTCAATGATTTATGGATATAAGACTGAATGTTGAACTGTTGATTTTGGTTCATTTCATTTTAGCTAATTGATTCAATTTAGTGACTTAATTGAGTGTTCGATAAATTAGAAGCTAATACTTACTTAGATACTTAGATGGCCCGCCTTCACGTGGCGTGCGGGCCCCAGCACAAAAGTTGCCATTTGTCCCTGTCCCTCCATCAGACATCCACGATCTTCTTGGTTGCCGTCGGTGGCTGCGTCCACAGTTCCAGGTGCGAAAATCGTATCCAGCTGATTTCTCAGCTGGTCCATCCGTTCCACGAACACGTCTGCCCATCTCGTTGGTGGTCTTCCTCGGGGACGTTTGGCTTCGCGAGGAATCCACTCAGACGTTCTTAATGTCCATCTGTCGTCTGTTCTTCTCATGATGTGACCGGCCCATCGGTGCTTCGCTTTCGCAACGTATTCCGCTGGGTCACGAAGACGGGACATTCTTCTCATATCCGTACTGCGAAATCCGACTAGATGTTGCTTGTGTCGGGTCATCTGCAGAAGACTGCGCTCGAGCGCTCTGTGGGTGGTCCGTAAGGCTTTCGACGTGTCTACTGTGTCAGTCCAAGTCTCAGCTGCGTAACAGAGCGCCGGGAGAACGGTTGAGTCGAACAGGTGGGCACGAAGCTCCGGGTCCGTCAGTTGGTCAGTGGCTTCCTTCAGAGGCTCGAAGGCGGCCCAGGGCTCTTCTCCTCCTGTTAAGTTCTTCCCTCAAGTCGTTCTCCATGTTCATCGAACGTCCGAGATACACGTAAGAAGACATCTCCATAATAGGGGTGCCTTCCAGTTCCATTTCTGCATCTTCGCAAAGGGCGTTCTTCATGAACTGAGTCTTCTTCCGATTTATTCGCAACCCGATCTTCTTCCCTACTTCGTTTAGTTCCTTCAGCATCGTCTCTGCTTCAGTGATACTGCTCGAGAAGAGAACGATGTCGTCCGCAAAACAAAGCTTAGACAGGAATCTCCCATCAACTCGTACGCCTCTCTCGTCCCAGTCCAGTGACTTCATCACCCACTGCAAGGCCGCGGTGAACAGCTTCGGCGAAATAGTGTCACCTTGTCGAACCCCCTTTCTGATTGGAATGGTCAGGGGCGATGGAACAGCTGCATCGTTGTTGTACAGTCCTTGTAGCAGTTGGCTAGTGTCCTCACGTAAGCTGGGTCCACTCCTTGATCGACTAGCGCTGACAGGATGACGTTGGTTTCGACGCTGTCAAAGGCTTTCTCGTAGTCGACGAAGGTTAGAACGAGAGGCAGTCTGTACCTCCGGCAGATTTCTATGACATTCGAAACCGTCTGGATGTGGTCCATGCAGCTGAATCCCTTGCGGAATCCAGCTTGTTCTTCGGGTTGGGCTTCATCCAGTGTCCTAGATATGCGAGCGAGGATAATATTCGTGAAAAGCTTGTACAGCACACTCAGCAGGCATATTGGACGGTAGTTCCGAAGATCCTCCCGTTCACCCTTCTTGAAAAGAAGGACGGTTCTTGACGTTCTCCACTGGTCGGGAATCCTCTCCTTCTGAACGCTAATGTGTTATGTAATTCTAGACATTGTACAGTGCACAACACTCCATTTGAACATAAGAAGATTGATTGACGCACTTTTGAATACTTTTTAAAGGAGAGCGAGTTCTGAGAAAGAGTCCAACCAGCTTGTGAAATCGCCATTGAGCAGATCTCCAGCTTGAGCGGATCTCTCAGCTAAGAGCATGACGATGATTAGGTTGCGACATCATCGGATATCCCTCACGAGCTTTCGACTTTCTCAGCAGAAAGCATTTCGAGACAACTGGATGTCCGCGCAGCATTATACAGAACGAAATGTAGGTGTATCGGTCTCTCGCGACGTATTTCAAAGGCCGGGCATACATCACGCGATTTCATCGCCTCGCGATTTTGTTGCCAAGACAACTCTTACGAGTCCACCGCATGTGGATTACCTTGCACTACGGCTGTGATAATACAGGGCTAGTCGCTTCGGATACCCACCATAACCACAATGCAAGATGATTGGTAGGCATTGGATTCGTAACAGCTGTCTTGTCAACAAAATTGCGAGGCAATGAATTCGCGTGATGTATGCCCGGCCCCTTTACTTGTGTCCCGCAGTCATTCTGTAGCAACAGCGGTTTTCACCGGCAGGACTTAACTGCGAATGTCTGACTTGGGCCAAAACCTTCTCAGAATGTGGCGCGCGGCGAGACAATTTCAAAACGTATAGTAAGTTTCAACTCAGTTTAGGCGGAAACTGGACTGGCGAGAGTCCGCTTTGCAACGATTCACGCCGCTTTGCAGTCTGCGTCTCTCCATTCTGAACTACCTCGCTGAGCCAGTGGCAGTGCGGACGCGCTGCTCCACTGGAACGTTTCGCCTACTCTAGGTTGAAAAAAACTATACAGCCACTGAAGTCAAGGGGTTGACCCAAACAGACTATTGAGCGGTGATGAAAACGACCGTAGAAGCAGCATGCAAGATTTATTGATTGTTCATTCGGTCAGTGTGATTTGTAAATAAGTAGTAGTATGTGCTCCTGCACTACACTTTTACTTTTCTAGCACGACGTCTTTTCGCTCCAACTCGTTTCGATCCGCCCCTAAAACATTCTAACATATGTTTATGAATACGCTAAATCGTCAGTCCGCACCTCCTGGATCTTACACTTCTACGAGTCCTGCCACCACGTCGGGACCTCGATCTTGATCGGCGAGACCTTCTGCGGCGTGAACTTCGCGATCTCGATCTTGATCTAGAGCTCCTTAAAGAAGATCGCATTCTTCGTGAGCCACGTCGAGACCTCGAGTGTCGTCTCGATCCTGCAAAGCAAAAGCTTTGACCAAGCCCATGAAAGGATCAAACTAGCGGACTTGAACCGCTGCGAGATCTGGATCTGTGTCTTCTTCTCAGTGAAGTACTTCGGCTGCGACTTCTGCTTCTACTCCTGCTTCTGCTCCTTCTTCTGCCTCTCCGTGATGTTATGGGCATTGTTAGTAACTGAACTGCAGTGAAGCATAAACGCTTTTATATAGTGCGGAGCTGGTTTATCACCGATCAGAATAAACATAACATATCATTATCCTGAAATCAAAATTCTAAACGGGTAATGTTTTGTTCGCCTTTCAATTAGAGAAGCAATAGAGGTTTCTGGAAGGTTTTGGATTGAAGTTCTAAACATGTTGCTAAAGCTGAGGCAAACTGCAAAGGGGCTATTTTAAAAGCCAATAATGGTTTTCTAAATGTACCTCAAATCATTACAGTCAAAAAATCTTTATGTATACGCATATATGGATTGTACATAAGCAGCTAGACGTCAAAAATAGCTATTTTTCGGTCTCTTTGAGATGAAGAGTATGCCATTTGGGTCTTCTTCTATTCGCACTGGAGGATGAGAGCATATTATAATACTATTAGTTCGGAAGATAGCATCATCTGTCATCACGCAATTTCTTGACAGGGTGAGCACAAAAAATTAAACGGAGTGATATCTGATAGAACAAAGCAGCTCTACAAAAGAAGGTCAAACTGCTCCAAGTTTGGTTAACGTGAAGTTTAGCCAAATTTCGAAAGGCACCAATTGCTTGAAATTTTGAAAAATCATTTTCCTACCTTCTATATTCAAAATCTAAAGATCCCCAACTTGCTCACATATACACTCTCTCACACATCAAACGCCCCAAATACACACTTGCTGCATTTTTTTATGGACGTTCAGAAATCAGATTTATGTTTTGCCACAGCAACTCTGAGCCCCTCGTAGATATGCAGTTCTATGTTATGAAGCTTTGAAAAGATAACCACTAATTTCTAGCTCTCTACGAGCGCTAATTTTTGAGAAACATCAACTTCATGCAAAAACCCCAAAAACACGACATAGCAGCACTTTTGATCTATTTTTGCTTCTAGATATTCACGAAGATGCGATTTTTCGGGTATCTGAATTTTTTTTGTATTGGCCTCAAATTCCATATGAAACAAAGCTTCCCAGGATGTTTACCATTAGCCATTGCGGAAGGAGGATATCAATCCATAGGTAGGAAAATCTTCAAAAACTGCCCATGGATCCCTCCAAAATTAAAAGTGGACGTATTACTTCTTCTATGAACATCAATCTTCAGAGCGTTAAATGCAGGAGCCACAGGTGATAACAAATTTTGAACATTGCTATAAAATTCAATTAGTTTTGTTGAACCTTTTGTAGAGTTTTGGAGCAAGTATACCTGCAAAAACTTCAAGCACTCCAGAATCTTTTTGGTGACTAACGCCACGCATCTCCTGTAGTTTTTTTGCCCCCCCCCCCCCTCCGAAAAAAAATCACTGGACCGGCACTGACCACCCAAACTGTACGTTACTGCTTAAGTGCAGAGGCAAGCCTTGACGTCGCGAGTGAAAAAACCCCTCCAATAGGGGGGGGGGGCGATTACGGTCTGTCAAGCGGTCGCGTTGATGAACTTCTTGGCTTCTTTCAGGCGTAAGACATGTCCCAAAGCAATTTCTCGCTCAATAGGGGTTGTCCCATGGGTTGTGACATTACGAACGCTGTTTTAGCTCAATTTTCACCAACCAAGGGTCTCTAAAAGAATAAAAAGGACCTCACCCCCCCCCCCCCTTATCCGCCGTGTAGAGCACATATAGTAGGTGTGGACTACGATTTGGACTTACGGTAGTGCAGTGCTGACGTGTGCAGCGCATGCACACACAATGTTTGTAATGACCGTCAACACGACTCTTGGGAGTTCTGAATATTTGTTTTTTTTGTTTGGCGTTTCCAAGCAACTAATACAATTTCGCAAGTTTCTAAAGCGTATTAATCCTTTGGAATTAGAAATCTATTCATCCTTTTTTGGGCATAGGCAAAAACCATCTTTCCTATTCGAACCGGTTGTGTCATCTGTACTTAGGTACGTGGCTAATTTATTTTTGCAGCGTCGTCGTTGCTGTGGCGCGTTCACTGCGACTACTATGGTGAGAACCTCAACACTTTCTCTTTTTTTACAAATGGTCCAATAATTTTCAGACCACTGTGTCATGCAAGATAGATACCGCTCACACTGATATCATCGTAAGCTTTTTTTTTCAAACTGTTTTTCATTTTTCTGATGTAGTTGCCCATTTTTCTTGAACTTCTCAATCCGGTTACCTACTTTGAGTCCGACTTTGTTCGATTTTGATTTGGACTGATCTTTGTCGGTAATATGGCTGAAAGTACTAGAGCCCAGTTCTGCAGCAATGTTCTAGGTAACTTGACTATCTGTTTTTCAGCACGACGCTCAGTTGAATTACTACGGAAACCGTCTCGCCACTTGCTCTAGTGATCGTCTTGTCAAAGTGTTCGAGGTATTCATGTCATCCTTTAGATTCCAATAAATTGTGATATTCAGGTAAAATCTAATGGTTATATCGTCCCCATAGCTGAACTTGCTGGACATTCCGGACCGGTATGGCAGGTAGCATGGGCCCATCCTGACTTTGGTGGCTTGTTAGCTTCCGGTGGATACGACAGGTTCGTAACTTTAAAAAATTTGTCTATGTAGCCTCCTCAGTCCATTAGTATGAGTTGCCAAAGCCTTTTCGGTGTGGTAAGCATAGTGATGGTTCCAGAATTCCCGTTCGGAGGGGTAGGGGGACAAAGAATCGGTTAGAGATGGGCATGGTCACGCACTCCGAACATTTTTTGGATGCTGCACAAAATTTTGGTTGGCCTACAACCCCGAAGTTTTAGACAAATAAGGGGTTAGGAGGTGGTTGTCAAGCTAATTGTTTTTTTTTTTCAATCTAAAATTTATTCATCAAGTTAGACAAGTTACTTGCAAATTTTTGTGATCCATATAAGTAATTTTCAAAATTATCGCTGCCTCCCTCCCCCTCGTTATGCCAATGGTGAATCAATATTCTCTGATTTTTTGTTATTCATCCATCTTGATAGTTCCTGTCGAGAGAAAATTGCTTTAGTGACAAACAGTGCACGAGATATAAGCTCAACGTTTTGGTTATTAGAGCGAAGCATGCAAAGCAGCCTTTTTGACCTCTGATCTCACCTTTTTATGCTCGAAAAATTAATTTGCCATTCATATCGTTTCTGTGTTTTTGTCTGGCTATGATTTTTTTGTGATGTGATAAAAATATTTTTCAGGAGAGTGATCATCTGGTCTGATAGTACAGGAAGATTTCAAAAGTCACATGAATGGACGGGACACGAAGCCAGCGTAAATTCTGTTGCATTTGCGCCACATCAACTTGGACTCATTCTCGCTACTGCATCAGCTGATTGCTCCATAGGAATACTCGAATTCAATGCGCAAAGTGCTCAGTGGGTGGAATCTAGAATTCTCAAAGCGCATGAGCAGGTGTGTTGTGGAGCTTTTTTTACACAAGATTTTGCTTCTTTCTACAGGGTGTGAATGCTGTTTCATGGTGTCCTGTTCAACGAACAATTGGCGATGTTGGCGAACAACCTTTGCGAAAACGGCTTGCCTCTTGTGGGAACGACAAACTCGTCAAAATCTGGGTGTTGGTGTGCTTTCATTCTGCTTCATATTGCCTAGTTGATCATGTCATTGTCTAAGTGTTAAATGCTTTTTTGCACGCCGTAGTTGATTATCGCAGCTTATTCTTTCCGTTTAGTCCTGACGAAAAAGGAGAATGGACCGTGGAGAAGAACTTGGCTGGTCATTCGGACTATGTTCGAGATGTTGCTTGGTGCCCTGTCATCAGTCATTCCATGTACACCATTGCAAGCTGTGGAATGGTAGTCGAATAGAGTTCAAAGCATTTACTATGTTAACTGAATTCTTAATAGGATCAAAGCGTAATTCTCTGGAGGTGCAATGAGAACAACGAATGGACTGCGAAATTACTAGAAAAGGTCAACTTTTCTTCAGTCATTCAATCATTTGCTATCATCTCAAGCATTTTAAAGATTTGGGGGAACAACATACTGAAATTAACATTTAATAATCCCCTAAGAGATAGGTGCGAAAAGGGTTCCAGTCCCCATTTGCCTATCTATATTTGAATGAAATTATCCCTTTTATGGTGCATAGACGCTTAGTGTTAGTTTGATAAGAGTGTATACGGACTGTGCATTTCAATCATAGACAAGAATTCAGAAGTTTGTTGGACCGTTATACAATTAGGTAAAATTGTTGGGGGATAGCGTATGACTTGAACTCGGTGATTGGACGAACAGCGTCATTTTTTCCACTCAAGCAAAGTTTGAGGATTTAGGCTGAAGGTGCACTGTGGCATGTAAGCTGGTCTATGTGTGGAACAATTTTGTCTGTCAGCGGAGAAGATAACAAGGTAATCAAGACCCTAGGTCAAAAAAATATTGTATTTGTGAGCATCTTCAGATAACGTTGTGGAAAGAAAATATTCAAGGACAATGGCAAAAAATGGACGATAACGGGAAGGCTTAAGCACAAAGCTCACTTGTAGTTATAATTGTCATATTGATTCTTCTTCATGATTGTTGTTGAGAATATGTGATCATTTGGGGAAATATTTATTGTCTCATTGTTATTGTTTCATCGCAGTTTGAACCCGTAAACGTCACAAATTATCTCAGCCTCAATTCTCATTAACCTTTGTTCAGTCATTGACTTGTGAAGGACTTCAAACCAGTCGTGACTGTGAGGAACATCAACATCAAAACCTTTGAGCACTAATGAGATCACAGCTATTGCTAGAGAAGCTGAAGAATGAGACAGTACAAGTTCAGGCTCTGAATAACAATCTCTCAGCAATGCGTTGCAGGAGTCAGCTATAGGGTAGATCATGAATTCGTTTGGCATCCAAGATCTCAGCACGTCAAGGTAAAGTGCTAATTGCTGAAAATGCTCAAATTGGAAGAGCAACACGTTTGAACAAATGTGTTTCACTTACGTCAAACGGATGCGTGAAGGTGAGATCGAAGTTTAGCTCACGAAGCACAACGAATGTAAGCTCTGACACACCTTTTCTCACTTCATACATGTGATCATCTAATTTTGCGGGATCCCCGTCTGGGTGCAGTATGCTTGAATAAGGGAATGTCAATATAATCTGGAGGAACTTACAAGGGAAGTCACTTAACTTAGGTCGGGATTTTGAAATGAGACACATACGGTTAGAATCAGCTCGAAACGCTGATTTCAAGTCTGCTTTCCTTAGCTGCGAAGCATTCCTCTGAAGCGAGTTATGAGCCTTTTCGTGAGCAAATTTTGCGTGTTGACCGACTTAGGCATGCTACAGTATCATCATCTAGGTGGTGGTTCAAATGCATATTATACTCTATCAAAGCCAAATGACTCAATTTGATGTTATTTTGACTTTCCACCACTTTTTGGGCAGATTTTCATCTAAAGACCTTCTTTCCATATTCAGTTGTATGTCAATGACACATACTAAAAAAGCTCATAACTCGCTTCAGAGAAACGCTTCGCAGCTAAGGATAGCATATTTGGAGTCAGCGTTCCGAGCTGATTCTAAATATATGTGTCACATTTCAGCCCGATCTAAGTTAAGTGACTTCTCTTGTTAGCAAATTTACCCACCGATGACTTGCATTAATAACATCCCTTACACCTATATCACGATCTTCCTCAAGTTTCGTTGCCAAGACAAGGCATGCGGTGGCTAATGTCTGCAAAAGTTCATTTCATAAGATCAGATATCACACACTCATGGAACTTACATATTTACAAACAGCGGAACTAATATCTCTTTGAAGAAGTTTATGCATCATCAGAACAGCGGAACAAACAGTCTTATTTTTAGCGGAAAGTCGCACACCTTGAAAAAAAAATAACAAGGATTTAATTGACGTAAACAAACAGTACGATTACACTTACCGCAACGAATAATATGCCTAAAGATCTGTCTGGGAGTTGGTTCACTAACGCCATCGGTAGTCATTTTTGGCCTGTGTGGCCGTGAATTGTAAATGCCTGAAGATATGATAATTTACAATGATTAGCAGAAATACTTTCATAGCATATTCCTTCAGAGAGCCCGGACATCACAACTGTATGTCAAAAATGGTAAACGTGCTGCTTTTGAGCACTCAGTTGTAAACAATCCAGTGTAAATCTGACGGTGTGTGTAGTGCATTTGTGGTGCCGAAATTTTGCGGTCGAATTTATGCGTGACAAATAGTAAGGCTTGAAATGCTAGCAAGTCACGCGTGCAGAACGGCATTTCTTAGTCAGCGTTCACGCGCAAATCTTACCGCACAATCTCGGCACCGCGAGGGCACTATAAACACCGTCACTTACAGACACACGACTATTTAGGAATAGAGGGAACTAATTGTGACATTATGGTCTCCTTGTACGTAGCATCAACAAACAACACAATGGAATAGTGAAACATTTTACTGGAAGAACCTTGCGCCTTATTGTACGAGTAATTTGCAATGATTTATTACAGTAGAAACCTCAAATGACAAGAGATGTACATTCTGAAAGCTCAGACCTGATAATTTACTTCCTCAGATGTACACGATCGTTTGAAGGTCTGGAAACACCCGTATGTATTCCAAAAACAGAAAAGAATTAGTTAAGCAGCAGGCGAAGAACATCTGTAGGTTCAGGCGAGTAGAAGTCGAGAGGTCGCATAGGATTATCGAGCTCCACTTTATAATCACCTTTGTCCAGTTGCAGTCTGACGTTCAATGTATGTATGGAAAACATCTTCCCAATCTGTAAAAAAAAGATTTAGCGTTTGCTATCTATCAGCTTTTTAAGTAAGCTACCATTTCAGTCAATTTCTGCACCGTTATCGCCAGGGGTAACCGTCTCTGTACGGTTTTCCCTTCGCAACATACAGGCAGCGACAACACATTTAGTCCACTACTTTTCGCATCAGCAACACCAGTACCGTGAATCTAAGCGAAGCGATTAGAATCAGCACAAGAGCATGAAAACGCTTATATACCTTGGTAAGTCTCTCGATGTCTTTGATGTGTACCGCTTTAGTAACTTCGTCAGTAGCAAAGTATTTGTCCAAAAATCTAACTTCCGCTGATTGTCGTTCAACAGAGCTAACATCAAATCGATTTAGATCAACCAGCTTCGGAAGCTTCGCAATTACTACCTAGAAATTGCAGTTGATGAGACATTCAGAACTACAAATCCAGAGACAGCAGAAACGACGATAACGCTTCCTTGCAAATTTTACTGAATGTATTACGCACAAACAGCGGTCCGAGCCTTTTTTTTTTCGGGGCGGGGAGGGGGAATGGATGTCGAAAATGAAAACGGATTCCTTTCAAAAAAAAATCAGGTAACATGGTCTTTTCGCAGCATTCAACCTTGAAGTCTGGGAAAGGAGAGGGGTGGCGGCATGCTCCCAACTATTTTCTGGTTAATGGAAATTTCCAGAAAATTCCGAAAGTTGTTCCAATCATTTCCGGCTGAGAATAGACTTGGATGGTTTGCATGGTTTTGTACTCATCTAAACCGCTCAGAAAATGAAACAGAACTTACTTCATGAACATCAATTCCCGCAACACAGCTGAGATTTTCGCAGTCCATGTAGAGAATCCTTAAGTTCGGCAAATTTTGCAGTTGATTTATCGAGTCCCACTAGAAGAAGCTGGATATACGAGCAAAATGTAGATATCCTCTCGCGGATCGAACGGTTATCATGGATAATATTTGTTGTCTTCAAGAAAAATTTAAAAGTACATACATCTGCTATTAGGTTACCCTTGATATTTAGAGTGCTCAGGTTGGGAAACTGGCCCTCCACGATGGAGATCGCTTGTATCCCACAATCAGCAACGCTCAACTTCTCTAATCTAAATAAATCACTTCACTTGGATCTTCCCAGATCATTTAAAAGCTCATGCTCGCTTTATACCTGCTAAGGTTTCCTGAGATGTTTGAAAAGCATCTAATAGGGTTACTTCCAATATCTAGAGTCGTAATGTTACCCGCTAAACTGGGAACTCGAAAGTTCGTGAAATGATTGCTGACGGCGAAGATACTTCGCAGACTAGGCAAATACAGTAAAATGTTGCTCACCTGAGAAGAAAACAAATTGAAAAAGGAAAAGAAAAGAACGAGTGAAGTTGATGAAGTAAAAAATGCATTATAGGTAAGATGCTAGGTACAATGCACTACAAGTTACAAGTTACTTACTACCAAGATAATGGATACCTCCCAGTAGATGAAGAAAACACTCACCGAATCCGCCGTGAGCCCACAGTCACTTATGACGAGATCCTGTAGGTGATCCACGTCCGTCCAAGCTGGACCTTCTTTCGCCAACTCCATTCGATTTTTCCTGAAAGTGAAGATAGAATGTCATATAACACGGAACACGATTGATACCTCAGCACCAGCTCTTTAAGCACAGGAAAATACTTCAAAATTTCATGAATATCATCCCATCGTTGTAAGAGATTGTTGAATAAATTCAGAGAAACACATCTCTTGAATGGCGCACACGTCTGCGGTGGTGGTTTTGCGACACCACAACTCTCCAAAACTATGTGGCTCAGTCGATGGACATTACTAAATGGAGGCTGATAGCTTCTGATGCTAGAAAAAGGGGAGAACTTCTAGCGCTAACCTTTGCTTTAAAGATGTAGACTGCATCCCAACCAATTCCACTGGTTTGCTGCTAACAACGAACACATTTTCATCAACATCATCCGCATACCGCTTTACAATTGCTGTGAGTAGATCTACTCCAGTGCAAACATTTTGAATTTTCACCAGTGATCCTCCTTTTGGTGTCCTGAATCATTTGGAGAACCAATGGAAGATGATTTGAAGAATTTTGGATGCATGAAATTGGGTGTGCTCCCATCTTATCGCTCACAATACAAGAGCCTAATCTTCCCGTTAAATCAGCCCGTCAAAATTATTTCTTTTAATTTCAGTGAAACAACAAGAACAAAAACTCTTGTTTCCTTGAACTTTGAAATTCGAGAATCTAAGTCTAAACAAAGCAGAAAAGTAGGCAAACTAATTCGAAAACCTGTTAGTCGTAAAGTTCATTTTTTTATCTGGCGTATTTTGAAACCCATAATCTTTATAGCTGAAGCCGAGCGGAGCTAACACCGATTTATAAAAAAAACTGTTGTGCACCGGATAAATCAGAATGTAGCAACAAGCACAAAGATAAAGTTTCATAAGAAAAACCAAGACATGAAAACTAACGAAGTTGTGAAGTATCGTACACCATTGACCATTCCATCATGTTTTCCACGACTAGGATCATTCCACTCCACACCTACCCACACTCCAGGATGATCCACCACACTTCCTACATAACGCACAACAGCTCCGTAACCATTGACCAGAACACGGTCATTCACTTGAGCCATACACCTAAAATGATGTACTCACTGAAGAAATTACTTTCACTATAAGCATGCACAAGACGAAAAGAGCTCCTGGTAAGTAATGAGAATGACCCGATCTATGAAACCCCGATCACTACCTAGCCTAAAAGCATGCCCCAGGAGATAAGCATCTGCGTTGGTCCGGTTCTTCGATGTGCGATGGATGGAGAAAATGGACCTGAAACCCGCAAAAGTGCTATCATCCACGCCCACTTTGTCAAGCTCCGCTCACTCAAGTCAAGCGCTGAAATCGTCTACGCCTGGGTTCCCAGAAGTTGGTTTTTGGGGGTTTTTTTCAAGATAATCTGCGCTTTCGAACTTTAATCAGGGCCGCGAAAGGCCCCAAAATGAACATGAAGGCCAAATTTTGGATGGAGTTGGCCGAAGTGAGCGACCATTCTCTATGTCTCGATTTTCTTAGACAGACACATATTCAGCTCAATGCGCTCCTTGTTGGATGAGACATCGTCTTTTATACAAGCTCGATGTCAGCGTTGTTGAGTTAAGCTGAACGAAAATTTCTCTTCGCCGGGGTGCGCATCCGCTCAGACAATTCTGCGCGCAAGCGGCGCGCACTGACGGCCAACAGGGCAGGCGGCGGGCCGTGATTTGTGGGCGTGACCTTTCACCGCACAGGCGGCGCGCACCAATTTCAGCCAACAGGCGGCGCGCAATGCATGTTCGCAGGCGGAGCGCAAACACAGCGTGCATGCAGGCGGCGCGCAATGTAATTTCTGTAGCATCACGTAGGCGAGGAGAGACGCTTGCTTTCGCGCGCAAATGCAGAATCCTTTGCAGAATCGTTTCTCCTCGTTTCTCTTTGTTTTTTTTTCATACAAAGTATTGTGTGTCGATTTCCTCACTTTTACTCTGTTGTTCTACCTCTTTTTCTATTTCTAAATTGTTTTGAGTTCAAGTAGGCGATTTTTTGCCTTTTTGTAGCACGTCCTCTTTTACTTCATCCAAAATCACTCTTGTTTCTCATATCAGTCTTCCATATCTTTTATCCTACCTCTGGTCCTTAATCATATTGACCTCGTGACACGGGGACGCTCACTTCCAATCAATAGCGCTTTCTTGCGTCGTTGCGCTTCCTACTTTTCTTTCCATTGCCATTTCTTTTTCTTTTTTTTTTCTCAAGATAAAAGGAGTGTTGAATTCAGGCCACAACTACTTCCGTACAATGATGGCTAGAGTGAATGTCGAAAGAAAGTCCTTCCAAAAGAGTAAGTCTTGCTTTTGAAGCCAAATTAGGTATTTTGTCCGAAAACATATTATCGTATTTCAGCCACCAATCTACAGTAGTCCCAAATACCAACAATCAAGATAGTTTATGATCGCGGGGACCTCAGCCCTGACTATTTATCTTGAAGAGGTGAAAAGTTGCTTTTTTTCAGTTTTCGTCAAAATTGTTGCTTTTCTTCAATTTTGTTGATAGCGTGTATTTCAGCGTCACGCCAAGCGTCTAACACCGACTGATGGAATCAGTCCTTGATAGAAGAAAAACCATTACGAGGACTAACGAGGAAGAGGCTGATCCAGATTACATGTCTCATCTACATCCCAATTCTCATTCTTTTATCCATCATATCCCCGTCATCTGATTGTTTGTTTCCTTTGGTTAATGGGTATATGATTTATTGGGTATAAGTCTATGAGCACCTAATTCTGGCTGATCCAGCATGCCCACGTCTTGTTCATTGCTATCGCAATTTCTATTCTATCCCTCTAAAACTGTACCTATATTATGTATTTAAAGTTATGTATACAGATCCAGTTTGTTTATCAAAGTATCCTGTGATCTCATCGGCGGTTATTTCAAGTTATCTCGTCATATTGTTGCATTTGTTACTATCAAGTTCGTTGTACTCATTACTTCATACACACATCTTGTTGATATTGCATTTGAAGTATGTCAGTTCTGTACGTATTAAGCTAGTGACAGTGAACAATATCAGCTACTGAAGACGCCTTAATTTTGTAAGTAATGTATTTGATCGAATTGCTGTTTAAAAACCAGTCAAATTTGAAAATTGTAAATATTATTCGTCAATAAAATAGTTGCAAAACCATATTGTCCAACGAGCATAAGATATTCAGACCGACAACAAGAATCCGAGCAGATTCCTGCCAAAATTTTTCTCGTAGCGCGCAGGCGGCGGGCCTTCAATCCATAGGCGGCGCGCACTGCACTCACAGGCGGCGGGAAGGTACATCGCTCGCTGATTCAGTGCGCGCCGCCTGCGCGCAGATTTGTCTGAGCGGGTGTGCATGTTCGCTCATTCGCCCTGATGCTCATCCGTTTTTCTTCGCTCGAAAGTAACTGTGTACTTCCATTCTGTCACGCATTGTGTTTGGACTTTTACTAGTGCATATTGTCATACTATAGTATTATGGTTTCGAGCACAGCATCCAGTTCAAAGGCAGCACCGATCACCTGTTTTGGAAATTACTTTTCTTTACTCTTTTAAAGTGTAAGGTTTGAACATGTCACATTCGTTTCATTTCATGTTTTCGATCTGCGCACTGTTCGTGAATAGTGCATTGATAAATACCCTGAAATCTCACAAATGAGGCCGCTCTTTGACCCAGATAAGTCCGCCCAACAGATCCTTCAGTAACGCCCTACAGTAGTCCCATTTTTTTCCATTATAATTGCCCTATCTTGTCAGATGAGTCCGAAGACTGTCAGATAAGTCAAGGCTTACCTGCAAACGGCCTTATCTGAAGGGAGGCCCTATCTGTGAGATTTTAGAGTAAATCAACAAAATTCAAAACAAGAACAGTCACAGGAAAAAAACTAACTTTGGCTACAGACGAATGCCTTCCTCACACGGATCTCTGCTGAACAAGTTACCTCTTTGCTGTCCTGATGTAAAGTGATTTATGATAAAATGGTAAGATTTCTAATGTAGAGGAGATCCGATTCCAAACTTTAGAGCGAAAGCAAACGAATCACCTTTATTACCCCGTATATAAAATGTGAAGATACAATTCGATAATAGCAATGTATACATGAAGATGTGATAATGCAATGTCAATATTATTTCACCATGCACCGAATTAGTACATAAATCAGTATACAAAATATAAAAGTAAAACAACCTGAAAGCTTAGAGAAAGGCTCGAATCACAGATTCATGTGAGAATAGTTTGAACTCGGTGAATGTGATCGTTAGTCTATCTAGTACGATAGAGGAATCTAGATGAAAAATTTGACAGTTAGTTTCACTGCCTAAGGCGCAGCACAGGTCAAAAAGAGTATCTATGTGACAAGGATTTCCTTGGAATCAATTTTGTCAAGAAAGAGAAAGAGTAAATATAAGAGTAGAGTACCCAAGACATCCCCAAGTGCTGTGAGATATGGAATAACTGAGTTGTCAGGGTTTACTCGCCAAGTCCACATTACCGCAACCATGTATTGGCAGATGTAAAGTAGTATCACAACCTAAATGTGGAAGTTTTATAACTACAGGATCCTCCTAAAAACGGAAATGAACATACTTGTGTTAAAGCTGCCAAAAGATATAAACTAGTGAATAAAGCACCGTGCGGAGGAATGACTGAACCAAAGTGAAATACGCGGATGAGCCAATTGAAGGCAATATGTCCAGGCACAACAAGAAACAATAAAACTCGAGCAGATCGCGAGTCGCTGTCTATAATATGTGATCAGTACGCATTTCATGATATCGCTGTATGAAACCAGCTTGAAATACCTTTAGAAAAGAAGGCTCTTGTAAAGCTGTAAAAACGTTGAAGAGTCCACCCTTCTGGCAATTCACCGAGCGTCCCGCTTTGATGGAAGTAAGTCGAAAGACGACTTGCTTGCACGGCAGCTAGATTTCCGCCCACACCTAAATGTATTAACTCAGAAACTAATCAAAAGCTAACAAAATGAACAGACCGTTGATGACCGGTTGAAAGATGGCCACATTGGGATATTCCCGCACGGCATTTTCCAGGATAAATCCACCACCACTACTCAGAAGCATGGCGAAAATTATGGGAGACCATCCATCAGTTAATACCTAAAGCACTGCTCATGAGAATGACAAACTAAAGCGATAACAAATTCATATGACAGAGACGAACAGGTTACAAAATTACCTCCTTTGCACCATCATCGCGCAGTGCTATACGAACCCAAAAGGGAGCAATCAGCAATACGATTATTATGACGGCAACGTTCAGCCATGACTCCGTGAGATGTGCATCCAGAAATATAGAACCAACCACGGAAAGAACGGCGAGCGTTGTCAGATCACCTATTTATGAGAAAATGTAACCAGATTTTCACAGAAAAAAGTTAAAGTAGTTAAACCTAACGAAGCAGCAATAGGAGTTGCGACATTGTCCGGATTGATGTTGTATTTTCTAGAAAATATAACTACCAAGGCCATGAGCAAACTGAGGATCAGCGAAGCGCAACATGCGGTTGTCAAGGAAGATGCGCATAAGAGGGCAGCATGGGACCAGTCGAGCTGAAATTGCAACTCTTTCGAGCAGATGAAAATACATGTAAATAAATGGTTGACATGCCCATACAGTCATGCTTAATTTCTACTAAATAGAGTGAAATATAGAAATGGGAACTCTCTGTGCACTATTATAATTACGGAAGAACTCTTGTTTTTATCGGATAAAAGATTAGTGACTGTTAGCATGAGGAAATAGTGTTACCTGTCCACGCGGTATCCATGCTAGAAGCATTGCAAAAGCTGAAGCAAGAAACGCAATGACTGTTGCTTGCACTTGTATCAGAGCTAGATTTGACAAGATTACCTCCTTCCGTTGAGTTGAATTATCTAGGTGACCTAGATTTGCCTAAAACATGTGAAATACTTGGAAAGTTGCGACGAGGTAACGATAAGGGCATAAAACTTACCAGGGTAGAAAGTCGACTAGCTAACGTCATCTCCAAATTCCCCTTCAATCCTAATAGGGCAGGGACTAAAATGAAAATTTCCGGAACTTCTTTGAAAAGCTTCCAGTGCTGTACGATATCAAGCACTACTCCAGCGCAAACCATCCCTATGCCCGCAATCGAAAACGGAAAGACCACCTAAAAACAAGAGCATTTTCGTTCTCCACTTCGTCAATTAAATTTTCATTTATTTCTAAGCTTGACAGAAATATGCAAACACAGATAGTAATGGTTACCGCTTTCCTGTCAGAACTTTCCCTCTTTGCTAAAGACATCAGATAAAGTAATGCCTTCTATGTCTCGAATTATGCATACTCTGCCGATTTACGACACTACATGAGCAGTTTTTCGCAATAATAAGATTGCAGCAGCACATATGCAAAAAAGAAAACGTACTTGGAAGAATAAAAGATAACTCGATTCAGGATTGGACGCGACATGAATCTCAACGTCTTGGCCGATCTGTGCTACGGGAGCATCCTCATCGTGATATGACTTGGCCCTAAAATGCTCCATCAGAACCAAAGAAAAAACTAGCACATAATTAAAGCATACACATTGTTCGGTGGAGCCTCAGTCTCAAACCTCTCATAAGGAGGGGCTGCACCCCCAGTCATTGATGCGGCTGGAATATTGCCTCGAGTTGAATGATGGCGGTCTCAGCGAGCCTTGCTTCACCACCGTTTCTGTGTTCAAATAGTTGAAGACAAATAAAGTACAATAAAGAAATGTACAGGACGATAAACGTAGAAATGAAGCAAAGCTTTCAATAAATCAGAATTTATCTTCAAAACAACAGAAAAAAATGACATCAACGAAGACAAGAACACCGTTTTGTGGGAGATACTAATAACACAAGGGTATGAATAATATTGATGTAAATCATTGTCTATTCTTCTTTTTATCCTCGTTCGATTTTACGGCGAAGAACGACTCTCTATCAGCTGGTTCAATATTATTCTCTGTGGCAAACTGCACCAAGCAGCGCTTCATGGCGTAAGCATCCTCGCCGTCAGCATAATATCTGGAAACGTGGAACTGGTATAACACAATCCAAAATAAATAATAATGACATAAAATTCCTACATCTTGTATTAAGACATAATGATGAGCCAACCAGGCCAACCAGGTTTACGCCGGTACAGCGTCTATGCGTGCGAAGCAGTTTTCTTAGAGTTGACATCCAGAGTTGAATGATTTTCACGGTCAAAACATTCGAATCAACATAAACTGGCTACAAAAAATCCAGCAAGTAGGCGTTTTTCCAAATAATTCTGTTGTTGGCAAAGATATAACTCAAAATCGATAAGATCACCGCTCGCATCCATGAATGGGGTATACCAGTGTCAAAAAGAAAGCTACCTAAGATTAGATCAGTCTAGGCAGCCTTCGAGCTACTTATCTATAGAGAGTAAGAAGGGGATGCTGCCTCAACGTGTCTACTTGATTGATGATTCTCGTACCTGCTGAACCATGACAACCATTTAGTGCATTGCAAGAATGTAGATAAATGAGAAGATTCTCATAGCTACAGCTCAATAAAACTTTCGTTGAACAAAATTAATAAAAAGCTTGATAACAAATGGAAAATTTATAATTTGAAAACAAAGCCATACAAGCATACGTACTTGGGCTCCACCTCACTGGCAGTGAATTTTAGCGTATTCTGATAGAGATTCAATGCTGCTCTGTTGCTCACGCGGACGTGAAGGGAGACGTATCGGGCATTGAATGTTTCCACCATAGCCCGGGCAGTTTGATCCATGAGTTTTTGCGCTAAGCCTATAATCGCCGAATGATGTACAAGGCTGCTGAATGCCTCGCTCAATTCTATTTGAGTAAAGGAAGTAAAAAAATACTTCTTTATTCATGGTGATTCGAAAAAAGAAACATACCGAGCCTCCTATAGGAGCGCTTGACAGCTAATGACGTGATATGTCCGTGCGGTTCTTCATCAGGATCTTCTTCCATCTTCGCTAACACGTACCCGACAACATTGCCCTGAATGGAATCATCAATTTCGCCTCCGATGAACTACAGCAAAACCTCTGTTTTGCATTTCGCAACAACGATGCGGCAGCACTGCCCTGAACCGAAGTAAAAAAGCAGCAACTGCGCCAACACGGTAGATTGAGAAGCTAAAATGACAATCGCACCAGAGAAAAGTATTGATCGATCCCACAGAAAGGACATAGTACAGCTGTACAATGGGTAAAAGCAACGTGTGGTTCAACAAAACCCGCACTAACTCCTGAACCAAAAAATTTGAGGGTCGAGAAGAAATGGAAGAAAGAAGAAAAGTTGCTTCCCATAATTTCAGGGCAATATCCCGCTTTTTTGCAAGTACAACACGACGGGCAACGAATATTTCTTCGAACAATTGAAATAAGCTAAGTCAAAGTTTACTGAACAGACGATTGAGTTTGATTTGGACAATATGAATCAGCATCAAAATCCACGAAGTCCTCCACAAGCAGAGGGCAGCACGTTGAACCAACGGTAAAAAGTAACCAAGTATAAGGCCCTGGCCAGACTTCGCTCAAAAGCGCCCAAAAGCGCTCAAAGGGCCTAAGGGCCGCATGCACTAACATCCCCGCGGGGAGGGGATCGCAGCTTACAAGAAAACTTTGTATTTCGAAACTCCAGATACCTGGATTTCACGTTGTGTACCTATCCGTAAGTATTCTCACTACCCTTCACTATGAACATGTTGAAGAGGAGCGAGAAGCTGTACGAACCGCTCCCCGGCGCTTTTCTTCAAAGTCATTTTTCTTTCTCCGAAGTTAACGAAAAACCTCTAAAGTTGTGCAGATTATCCAACCTGACAGTGCTAAGCATGTTCCTGATAAGAACAAATGATGTTTTGAAGTCATGAAATTCTCTATGATCCACAGGTCGAAATTTGAGGTTTACTGAAAAATTCGACTTTTCAAAAACTCATTTGTTCTCATCAGCAACATGCTTAGCACTGTTGTGTTAGATGCTCAGTACAGCTTTGGAAAGTTTTCGTTGACTTCGGAGAAAGAAAAATGACTTCAAAGAAAAGCGCCGGGGATCATCAGGGATCATACGAAAGCTGGAAAATGCGGTTCGTACAGCTTTTCGCTCCTGTTAAACATGTTCATAGGAAGGGTAGTAGGAATACTTACGAATAGGTACACAACGTGAAATCCAGGTGTCTGGAGTTTCGAAATATAAAGCTTTCTTTTAAGCTGCGATCCCCACCCAGGGGGGAGGTTAGCGCATGCGGCCCTAAATTTCTCTGGTCTCTCTTCGCTTTCTCGTGTGAGAAGAGATGACAGAGAGTGAGGAGAGGTTAGAGAAGTTCGGGCGCTTTTGAGCGCTTTTGGGTGCTTTTGAGCGCTTATGAGCGAAGTCTGGCCAGGGCCTAAGTGTCCTTTTCTCTTCATAACTGACTAGTCGTCTTTGAAAACTATCCTACTATAATAACGCGCTAAGGCCGTCTGTTTTTTGTGTATGTGTCTGTCTGTGTGAAAATCTGTCTGTCACGAAACATAGAGGAAGCTGCAACTAAGCTATCGGGCTGCAATTTTGCATAGCATACCGTGCCAGCGTGTATGCCCACCATGCACAAGGACGAGCCGGTTCGATAAGCGGATCCCTCAAAATTTGCGCGTCAGACGGGTCCACGCGCCTTTTGGCACGCAAAACTGGGTCGCTAATTCGACTTTTTGCAAAGTTACGATTTGCTTGACAAGTAACTCTGCGCGCCATGAATTCTAGCCCAAAAAGTGCTCAAAAAGTTTGCTTTTTTGCGAAAACAGCGCCAAAAAGTGATGAACGCGTAGACAGTCGATTTGGCAAGGTTTTATTTGAAAAAACTGAAAAGATGTTTGCACTGAAATGTAGCAGGTGACTATTATCTTTATGACGATTATCAAACTAAAATAATAGTAATCCGTTCAAATTCGCATTTGCTTGTTGCAACAAAGTTTTTTTTCTCCAAATTACTGATCTTGCATGGAGATGCTTCATGAATGAACAGTTGTTTACTCATAGCCATTCTCATGCGAACATGAGAAAGGCACAACCTAAGGCAGAACCTCCGCGAAGCGGAGGTGACGCACTGGTAGTTATTATTCGACTAGTCAGTAAACTATAGTCGCACAATCTGTGTCTCCAGCTATTTTCGATGGCCATTACAACAGCTGTTCAATGGTGGCGAGTGTAGCGCCAGTCGTAATGACTGTCCATTGCGAGAATGACACTAGTATTGGTACATTAGCGAAAGTGATTTGTGACGAACATTTCAACAAGCAAATATAATAACCGTGATGTAAGAACCAGATGAACAAACTGCACTAGAGGACTGCCTACCTTATGATCCTCTGCTACGTAGGACAACTGCGGCCATGTGAGAGCATGATAAAAGTAGTACTTCATTTGATAATTCTCTGGGAGACACATAAGATTGGCATGCTGCGTATTTATGAGGTCTTCAGGCCGTGCACATCGAATGTTCATTACAAGCCTGAAACCAACAGCTATGTGCGTATAAGAAGAATAACGGTAGCTGAGGGAGAACGAATCCATTTGTCTATATATAACATCAAGCGGTAAAAAGACGAAAGGAAAATAAAATTCAACAGCCTGAAGATCAAACACCGCATATAAATGTTCTTTCCTGAATTTCGCTGCCATGCAAGCACGTAAGCGCTATATGCCTAGCATTATTTCTCTGCAGCGTACTTTGATGTGTTCTAACCACTGGTAAATGGGCACAGATTTAATCATTTAACCACAGAGTTTTAGTAAGTACACAAAAGCTAAGTAAGTTAATTACATCGCAACATTATTGGATATGTTAGTAAAAGTGGGGAACGTTACGAAAGAAAATGAAGGAAATGTACAGAGAAAAGAAAGAAGTGTAGAGATGGAATGGCACGTAAGGGGTGGGTTATGTCAAGAGGAGCGACTTTTATTGCCAGCCAGACACCAATTAGCATAGTATTTGTGTTTTACAACGCTCTAAGTGCTGCGAAATTTTTAAGGAGATACATTAGACAGCCCCATGAGTTGTAGTGGCTTACTACTACAAAATAAATTTGAAACATAATTGTTAAAGATCAAAAACCCTTCAAAACGTAGATAATCTCAAATTCGTAAATATTTAACTCAGTTTTTCATTAGAATTCGCCAAAGTCGGTAAGCGACAACTTTAAACAGCTGGTAAGCCGAAAGACTACGCTTGGTACTTGTTAAAAGGTCACACAACACTTAATGGGCCTTTTAATGACCTACCTACATAAAAATAGCGCCTCTTGACCGCCTCCCAGGAAAAATGAGCTGCTTAGCCTGATTTCTTCTATTCTGGAAATACCCGCTTCACTGCACGACAGGATTTCCACTTAGTACCACTAAGGTATGTAATACTCGCGCATGTGCTGACTATAGAAAGCAAAAGACTTATATAGTACTCATTGTCGAGCATGAAAACGCAGACAAACATCGCGTACACATAGTACCATGACTACATACTCAGATTCAGAATAAGAGCAGTGCATTTTTTATTGACAAAGCAAAATTCATGCAGCAACAACGGAAATCGTGCACGAAAATCGTGCAGATTTGCAAAATGCGCGGGGTCCCGGAGCGAAGCCATGACCGCGGCCGCATTTTAAGAATTAGGCCTCATGCGTTTTTGAATGTTTTCGAAGCGTTTTTCTTTTGCCAAGGTCACATGTCGCCATTTCTTTGAAGGTTTCTGCTCATGCATTTTTGAAAAGCCAGACTCAGCCTTTTAGATACTCTATGAGGACGCCCATTTGAAATTTTACACAATTTTGAGCAACTGGCGGTTTTTTTTGTAGTGCTTGTTTACAATCTCCTGTTCTTTGAGGGCTTTTCGACGCAACATCCGAATCCTTCTTACTTCTCTTTATGATGTACGTGCCTAATTTTTCACATCACATTAACTACGATTTCAGAAACATGGGTTACGATAGTCCAGCAAGGGGTAGGGGATCCACCTCTGGAGGTTTGTTACTAGCATTTTTCGTCATCTAAAACCTAATTTGATTCTTCAGGATTCCGTGGAGGTTTTCGTGGTGGGGATAGAGGAAAGTCACCAAACTTTAGAGGAGGAGGAGATAGAGGTGTGAGATCAAACCTTATAAAACTTGTGATCGGCAAAAAAATAAATAGTCTGCTAAACTTAGCATGGTCATCAGCTCTGAGTACATTACTTGCGCTTTGTTTAGGCTCCCTTCAAACATTATCTTCTTAGGTCGTGGTGGCAGAGGAGGTCAGAGAGGAGGTTTTAACTCCCCAGCTAACCGCGGCAGAGGTGGCTTTGGATCTCCGGCAGAGAGAGGAGGCCAGAGAGGTGGGTTTAGGCAGTTTGGATCACCAGATCGTGGAAGAGGTTTGTCGAGGAGTGGGGCCAGGAACTGTCCGCGAAGAGTCTTATCATCTTATTTCAGATGGTGGAGGAGGATATCGAGGTCGTGGAGGATTTAGTCCTAATAGAGGAAATTTTTCCCCAAGTCATCGCGGCGGTCGTGGATCTTTCACTCCTCGTGGAAACAGTTCACCGGGATTCAGAGGTGGCAGGGGTGGACATGGCTCATTTAGTGAAAGAAGAAAGCCATCCGATAATGACAGACAAGAAGGCGGTCGATGTGAGTCCTGCTCAGCTTTGTTTGCTGTAAAATAGTGTGCGTTGTGGACGATGTTGAAGTTTTGCAGACAAGAAGAATTTCTCTGCTCCCAATACTCCAGCTGGTTCGAAAGGAAAGCCCAAGAAGGTCTGTCCTTACTTCATTGAATCCATTTCTTTGCGCACGCGCTGTAGCTTCTTTGAGACTTTAGTGCTAGAGCTGCTATCACAAATTGAGAAATTGGGCATTATCTATCTTTTAGGTGATGGCTGATTTTAGAGATACCTTTTCGTACCTTTTGCAGTGCAAAATGTCTCAATCAGATTGATAATCATCTATGCGAAATCATTGCGAACTAGCACATATTGCTCGTTCAGAGTCTTTTCGCTTGTCTCGATAAACATAAGAGTAGATACGAGAACGAAAAGATACGGCCTTTTGTCCTTGACAGTCTCTGGGGCTGTTAAATAGTAGTCGCGACAAATTGTGAAAAAGTAGATAGAATCACATCTTGTTTGCGTAATTGACTGTAAACCTTACGCTCACCTATACCTCTGTGAAAATCGGCACGAGCAACCACCTCGTTATTTTTTTCGTTTTTCAGTGTTTTTTGTGCAGGAAAGCTTGTTAGGGTTGAGGTTTCTAATATGAATTTTTAGTTTGAAGAAGAGGAGGAAGATGAGGATGAAGAAGAGGTTGCTAACGTCAGTGCCTTGAAGGAGAAAAAGAAGGCGCATGGAAAACCTTCGAAGGTATTGGTCCTTTACTTTTCTATTCTCTACTTATATCATTCAGCACATTGAAGCTTCTGAGAGCTCATTTGTGTGGATTCATAGGTCCACATCCATATCTTCTTCATATCATTTTCAGGATGTTCCTAATGCTGGAGACAGGATGTAATGTATCATTTCCAGGTTGTTCCCGATGATGAAGATGAAAATGAAGAGGAGGAAGATGAGGATGAGGAGGAGATGGATGAGGATGAAGAAGATGAGGAGGAGGATGAGGAAGAGGCAGGAGGTGATAATCTGTTTCTGTACATCTGCTTGTCTGTGATGTGTCAAAGTTGCACTTTCAGTTTCCACCAAAAGTGCTGCAAAGAAACAGGTTACTACTTTGAAAAAACCGGAAACGTTGAAGAAACCAGCTGTGCCAGAAGATTCTGATGAAGAAGAGGACGAAGAAGATGAAGATGAAGAAGAAGACGAAGACGAAGAAGAAGATGATGATGGTATGCACAGTATTGCTTAATTTTGTCTGAACGATAGATGCAATCGACACAGCCATTGTGCTTCTACTTAATTTGCTTATTTCAGAGCCGGTAGCAGCAGCTTCGAAAAACAAAGCTGGAGCAGCAGCCGCCAAGAACAAAGCTGGAGCAGCAGCCTCGAAGGACAAAGCTGAAGCAGCAGCCTCGAAGAACAACGCTATAGCTGCGCAGAAATCTGTAATCGCAAAGAAGGTTACAGCAAATGAAGAATCTGATGAAGATGAGGATGAAGATGAAGATGAAGAAGTCGACGAGGATGAGGAGGAAAGTGACGACGAGGAAGCTGCGCCTGCAAAGAAAGGTAATTTTTTTTAGAGTTGTGTGAACATAACGCTTTTTTGATGGACTGAAGCGAACAAATCTTGCATTAAGATTTGATGTAACTCATAACCTGTATTACAGCAACATTATTCACACTTTAACCCACGCTAAACACGATATGCTTTAATTTAGCGACGCTTCCAAGAGGTGTTGGTACTTCTATGGCTAAGACTTCGGCAGCACCAGAAGAAGAAGAAGAGGATGAGGATGAAGAGGATGACGAGGAAGAGGTTAGTCGTATAGTATGTCTTTTGTTTGATCCAATCCTCAACTCATATCTTCAAGGATGAAGAAGAGGATGAAGAAAGTTTGGAAGATGAGGAGCAAACTGAACCTATCATAAAAACACCAGCGCAGAAACCTAAGCAAAAGGAGCTCAAAAGTGCGTTGAAGAGCGATAAAGGATCTGACGCAAAGAAGAAGGTTGACGTGTCGGCTGCACCAACCCCAACCACTTCCTCAAAGAAGATTCCACCGACGCCGCATCCGCAGAAGAAAGGAGTGAAGGACACTCCAAAGGCAACATTAAACTTTGATGATGACAGTAGCGATGACGACGAGGAAGAAGATGAAGAAATGGAAGTAGATGAAGACGAAGAGGAAGTTGCAGAAGAAGGTGAAGAGGGCGAAGATGAAGAAGAAGACGAGGAGGAAGATGAAGATGAAGAGGAGGAAGAGGTATGTTGATGTTGGTTTTCTACTCACATACATAGTCTCAATTATCATTCATGCAACATCGCGGTATCAAATCCATAAGCGATTGCTTCTCGGCTTCTGCATTTCAATTGGCTGTTAGTACTTACAGTAGTCTCACTATTGTCATATCTTACCCTATATGAACCGTCCGAGTGATCATAGCGGCTAAGTGCAAGGCCGTGCAAGTTTAGATATAGATATCTTCTTCGCTGGTGTGTTATTTTGACACTGAAGAATATAAGAAGTCTTCTAAACTAATTGATATTTTTGTTTGCAGGAAGAGACACCTCAAAAGGTCACGCCTTCAGCACAAGCGAAGAAAGAAAAACTTGCTTCTGCAAAACAAACTAAACCCGCTATTACCAACCAAGCTAACGCGAAACAAGCTAAACCTGCTGTTCAAAACCAAGCTAATGATGTGAAGGTGAAATGTCAGAGAGTGAGTTGCTGGAGAGGTCTAAATTTTTGTCTATAGGTAGCAAACCAAGGAGTCAAGCGGAAAGCTGATGTAGATGGTACTCATGCTGCAAAACATTTGAAGGTGATTTTTATGATTATCGGAGCCATTTCAGTCAAATCCGCCATATTGCCCGCTTTCAAGATTATTGAAGCTGCGCTCAATGTATCAGAATTTCAGCTTGATGAACATGCCATTGTTGACGAAGAAAACAAGCGGCGGCAGGAACGTGATGAACGTTCTCTATTCATCAAAGGTTTTCCCAAAAACACAAAGGTTCGATGTTATCGCTTTCATCACTGGTTGAATACTAGTAGAAAAGCGATTGTTTTCCTTTGTTATGCCATCCACAAGTTCTTTGCCCTTTTTAGACTAAAGATCTCGAAGGACTTCACGCCGATATTGAGACAGTACGACATAACAGAGGATCATCTTTTGCTTGGATTGTATTTAGAACAGAATCATCTTGTAAAAAGGTCCGCTTGGGTTTTTATGCAATTTCCTTTTTTGATGTTCACTTTATAGGCGCATAGTATGCTATCAGCTCACAAAATGGGAGGCAAGCCTCTTTTTGTTGACTTTTGTGGCTCTAAATCTGCTAAAGCAAAAGCAGCGGAACACGGTAAGTTATACTGAATAAGTTTTCCTAATGTTCTTTTTCTTTCTGGTGCAAAGAGGTGAGAACTCATATTTTGTTTTTGTAATGGTTATGGTCGAATAGCTTACTAATGTGGAAGCAAGAGCATAAGAATATTGAAATATTAGCTCAGAACGATTTTTTATGAGATTGGCATCATACTATGTTTAATCATTGCCTTATTTTCTCCTACTATCGTGGCAAAATGTGGGAGAACATCTTTGATCTGTATAAGTTTTTCTTCGGTGTGGAAGTAATTTTCTTTTATCGCGAATTTGTAGGAATAAGAATGTAAAAATTGCCTTCACTTGATTATTTTGTACCTGAAGTTATAAAGTCGATTTTAAAGGAACTGCTGCAAATTTTTTCATTTTTAAGGTTGGTTTCAAACCAACCGCTGCAAATGTTTTCATCTTGCGTGATACCAGAGTCTAAATTATTTTCTCTGTTGAAATTTGATTTCGGCAACTATTATATGAAGGCATTCAGCTCAAAAACCGATAAACCCCCTTGAACTGTTCATCAATGGAGTGCCTGCCAGCGTAACCAAAGACGATATCAAGAATATTTTCCGAGCTGCTGTTTCAATCAACATTCCTAACGCACGACCTCATGAGTTGAAGTATGTATTCCAAACATTTTTTTTTTTAAATCTTTACCAAGTTCCCATTTTTAGACGCGCATTTGTTCTGTTTTCTACCGAGGATGATGCAAAATCAGCATTTGACAAAGGCAAAGGACTTAAGCTCGCCGGAAGATCTGTTGAAGTATTTTATGCCCGAATTCGCCAAAACCCTCAGGAGCATGCAACCGTAAAAGCGAAGCAGGTAAAAGAAGCGATATGCATCTTATGTTTTTTTTTCTGAAGTCGAATACAATACTCTGCAGAATGCAGCGGATGCGAAGACAAATGCCACAAGTGTAAAAAAACTAGCTAAGCCAGCAAAAATGGAGCAAGGCGATAGTGAAGACGATAGTGATGAGGAGGAAATTGAATCGAGCGATGAAGGTATCGAGGAAGTGAACGGAAAGCTAACTAACAAAGCTGCGCCAAATAAGGTATTCTTTCTTCTTTGCAAACTTTTTGTGCAGGTTTTGCTTTGTTCTCTTTTTTGCAGTCGTTACCTTATTCAAGGGGAATTCGTTTTTGTATGCATTACCTAAATGAAAAAAGAACAACAGTACCATTACCGTGTACGATTTGAGTCATATCATTTTGTATTTTAGAAACCGCAACTAGCTGAATCAGATGAAGATGACGATGATGAAGAAGAGGATGAAGACGAAGACGAAGAGGAGGATGAAGATGACGAGTAGCTTTCTTTCTCGTGCATTGTGTTATAGCTGTTACCGCCTTGTCCACATGTATCTGTTTTGTCCCCTTGTTGTTTCACCCTAGCGCCACTGTAGTAGAGACTCTAACTGTTACACCCTTCTCATCTTTACGATGTTGTTGTTATTGTTGAAGATTATGTAAGATTGTTGACAGTTGATTTTTCCAAAATATTCGAAAATATAAGTGAAGTCTAACCTTGTTTTAGTTCTGTTCAAAAAATTCCCATCACTTAACATGGAAATCACAGATCGCACAGCGAGTATCTGACACAAGTGGTCTCAAGTAATAGGGTGATTTAAAGTAACAGAGCTTTTCAGAAACAACCAATTTTCTTTGGAGAAAAAGTCAACTGGATGCTCAAGTTTTGGCAGATTTTAGTACATACGAAAACATCGTAGTGGTCAAGGGCACTGTCGCAGGCGTTATTTATATGAATGCTTGAAATTAAGGCATGATACTGTAAATATTAGGTTGATGGAAAAATAATGGGCGTTTTGCGACTTTTCATTTTGATGTGCTATAACTTTTTGAAAAATTCACATTTTGAATGTGGTAAAGACCATCAAGAGCAGCAAGCCTCTTGCAATACAGCACACATTCATTTGTGCTCACATCGCAAACGGGCAGAAAAATATGGACCAAGAAACAAAGGAGATTTTTTTTAAATCCTTGTTTTTGACGACTCATAACTTACTTAAAGTTTGTTATCGTAAGAGATAAGTGGCCCATGTAGCCGCAAGCCAATAGTACAAAATACGATGAGAAGGATTTGGAGAAAAAAATTTTGCGAGGAGGAGAAAAACTAAATTTCAAAATTGTCAATGTTTTATTTTCAGTATGCCTCAAAGTCCCGAATACAGAGTTTTCTGATTTTCTGCGTGCTGAACAGCTAGATGTTTTTGCAAAAACTACTAAAACTATGCACTAGTCTTAACAGACTTGAGCAAAGCTTTGGCTATGAACTTTTCAAAAGAAATTTATGGGTCATAAAATGACAGCAACGGCTACCCATGTTGAGGCGCCGATATCTTAGTCTGGATAACTTCAGAAAATACAGTTGAGTAGGCATGGTGTAGACAATTTCTATTAGGTAAAATAGCTGAATTTCCGAAGAAGCGCCATACGCGCTTGTATTCTGGCCAGAAAAGTGAGCAATAAAATTTTGAATTTGGATGCAGTTATTTAGAGCTCAATAACTTTACAACAGATGAGGGTAGAAGCCCGCTTTAACCACTATTAGATAAAGCATGAAAATAGTTTCTTACAATTAGTGGAATGCTACATATATCTCAAAGAAGAAATTCTGATTAAAGATAAGTTGCTCTGTAAAAGGCTTGGAAAATCGGCCATTATTTATGCATCAATTCAATAAATTTTAGTACGTCTTTCCCTGCTTATGCAACTTCCTCATTTTTTCTTCATTCTAATATGGGCAGAAATATGTTTTTAGATGGAATTCTGGGATTGTGAAAATAAATTAAAGTGCCCACTACCTTTGAATGAGCCTAAAAGGTCCCCTAGGCGGTCATTCCTTCACTCTTTGATCCTCCTCTAGTATTGTAAAAAATGCTACGCTCTAGTCTCCCAGCCTCTGTACTGTTATAGCTCTATTTGGAGCTGCTAAGCAAAAACTGAAGTTTTTTATTATTGATCACGGGACAACCTTGCCCAACATTAATCCTGATCATTAGGAAAATACATTTGGAAAAACACCGATCTTATCAAGTACAATTGTTCTCTTCGCGTACAATTTGCTAGTTCTTGACTCCGAGTCGCCCAAGTAGAAGGGCGTAGTAGCGTACGCCCCAAATCTTTATGCACGCGTGCGTACGGCACGTACATTGCGTACTTTGCGTACGCCGCGTAGGTCGCGCAGTCTGACTTCAGTGATCTATTGGAAAGAGTAAAGGTAGAAGTTTAGAAAAAAAATAATAGAAATCTGGTTGCATCGGTTCTGATTGAGCGAGTAATGAGTTACTGTGTGCTTGTTCATCATATTAAGAGTGTCTCTTTCAACAATAAACAACTCTTTCTGCCATATTTTTATGAATACTTTCTGGTATCTCTTTCTTGCTTAGTCTGTATGATTGGCTAATCAGTGTGGGTCTACGGCTTCGTGTTAATTTTTTATCAGTGTATCTCCGCAAACTCCTCTGTTCTAAGTCTGAAGTCTGACTGCTTTTTTTATTTTGTGTTCCCAAAACTTTTGTCTTTTCTTCCTTATGGCGCACCTTAAGTGTATTCATAAATAAATAAAATAAAACAAATATCCTGCGAAAGAAAAAAATCATGTTTTAACAGCTATACTTCTGTTATTAATAGACCGTGTAGAGCCTTACGGCAGCTTCCTGATCTACTCGTTCGTGAACGTTTCTGCTTCTAGCAACTTCTGCCCACTTACGGTAATGGCATCCCCTCGTACAGAGGTTTTCGTACTTGAGTGTGCCTATTGGCGTTCCACAGATACCTACGCCAAAACAGCACTTCACTACAAATGATTTCCAAGTACGACTCTAACAAGAGGCTCTCGTACCCGTTTGTGCTTATCGGTCTCCCACAGAGACCAGAAAGACGAGCACAATGACTTAGTACAATAGTACCCGACCAGAATAAAGGCAAAACCTCCTCAACAAAGAAATTTTGCAAAAAACATGTTAGACCCATAACCAACGACAGATTCTGTGTTTCTGTAGTGAAAGACTTGTTCGGCTTCCATGTAAAAAAAGAAAAGATAAGGCGTATTCGCAGACCAGATTGTAGGACGAGTTGCTGGAACAAGAATATTTCAGCGAATTAAAGAGAAGAAAGCATTAAACACTGCCACCATGGCAGACTGACGAGCCATGTGCAAGTAAGAGGAATGAAAAAAGGAAAGATAGAGGCAAAATCCTATTGTGGCCGCCGCTCTCTGTTTTTGAAACTAATCACTAACAAAGCAATTAACAAAGCGAAGATCATAATAGCCGATAGTGATCAATAACAAATCAAATTGCTCCTCAAGTTGCTCACAAGTCTAATAAATCTGTTTTTAGTTGTCGGATGGACTAGGTTGAACTCTTTCTCTGTTAGAGTTCTGTTAAGTGATGAAAGTGATGAGTCCATGTTGATGGTAAACCACCATGGTTGATGGTAAACCACCGTCTACATCATGCTCCGTTATTTTGAGCAATACGGCGAACTACAAGTTTCTTAAATGCCTGAGGTCAAAGCTACTAATGTGTTAGAATTTTCTCAAATTGGTACAATATCTAACAAAGTGATTGAGTAAAATTGTTGCTGATAAATCACTACCGTTCTTTTGCAGCAGTTGATGTGATTCTTTTGCCTTGACCTATTGTGAACATCGTTCTTATCAACTGTAGAAGTGTGGTCTGCAGGTGTCGAGTTCTAACCAATTTGTGTTACTAAAATGGCACACCTTGAGTGCATATAATAAATAAGTAAATAAATAAATAAGTGAATAAATAAATAAATAACTAAGTTGTTTCAAATATAATGGTGGCAGGAACGTAGCCTTTGTTGACTGAAAGGCCACTTATTATGTGTATACACCACTCGCTGAGATTTTTTACAACAAATGCAACACATCACATCAGGTTTTCAGGTTATCCCGAATTTCGGTCACTCATACTGCGTCATCGTCACTGAGAAAAAACGTATTTCCGATGGGACGCTCGAGAAAAGATCGGCACAGCCGTTGTTTACGGTCGCTTCTTTCAGTGTTATTCGGGACTAGTTCGCGTAGATGTTCCAGTTCGGATCGTTTCCTCATTTTCGCCGACCGTGTTTGTGCAACGAAAAGAGCAGTGTTTTAATGATGGTTAGCCTTTCCTTAGATTTTTATAAGAGCTGAAGAAAATGTGGACATATCATAGGTTAGAGGTAGTAAAACTACTACGGACGTTACTGTGGACCAAGCTTAGTCGCTTACCACTATTAGATTTGGTAGATATTTAAAGAATGTTCCCCAAAACTATGTGAACAACAATATACATGATATCTAAGATTAAACCTACAGAGTGAAATATTTGAGAATAATCGGAATAATTCAAAGTGAAACTGCGCAAAAACCTGATTTCTAGATTGGTGGGTTCACTCGAATTCAGCTCAGTGCAATGCAATGTCCTTTCCCAATCCGCGAACTACAGAAATCTGTTCTGAGGAATAAGGCAGAAAAGAAAAGCTTGCAAAACTGCAATATAAACAGACATTTGGTCCAGAAAAGCCTATAAACCGCCATATTAACTTCCGGTTTGCTTCTAAGAATAACGTCAAAGATCGTTTTGCTGGCAATGAGAGGACATGGGCCCCATTTTCATATAAATACAGTTTTTATATCAGCATCCATAGTTATCTTCTTGAAAGGTCTTTCTCGTTTGCCATACTGCCTGAATCAAATAGGGATTACAAATAGCCCTCTCACATAGTTGAGCAAAACAATTTTTTTGTCTTTTTTCTCAAAAAAAACCTTTAGACGAGATTCTATTTCTTCCAGAAATTCATAACCATATGTAATTTAGAGTCAGAAGTTTTCTTTTCAGAAGTTGTCAAAAAGGGAGACGGTCAAGAGGCGAATTTTTCTGGCTGTCACCAACTCAAAACTCCATTTTAATTCTATGCAAATCTTTGAGTAAGAACAAAGTGTATTGGCTTAATAACTGTGTGAAGTAGCCATTTGCTGTGTTGCTGAGTTTGGCGACTTTTACTGGAAAACTAGCCGAAATATACAATGTTGCTATTAATTGCATTTTCATAGGTTTTTTATCTTCAACACGTGTTGAATTGTTTCAAAAGTGAAAAGACTGAACAATTCAAGCAATATCTAATATATCTTATTCAAATATTTAACTACTCCGAGAGCATTATAAAACAAATGTGTGCTATTTGGTGGCCATCTGGAGTATTCGATAAATCTATTCGCATTCTTCGAAATGTCGAGAGCGATTGGAACACCTATATCCGATGCGATTGCGTAGTTGTTGTTAAGCATGTTTGATCGGAAACTCGAGTCCAACTAGTTTTGCATTGTTGCGTATTTGCCGTATACGAGCACTTCATTTTTTACTTCTAGTGCGTTTATATTTATGTGTTTGAGGACATTTCTGGCTCACGTAGTTGTTATAGATAGAGATACGGAGATAGAGAAAACTGTTTTCAATAATGAAAAAATGGGAGAAGTACATTTCCTTATAAGAAATGGACTTTTCGCAAAGTACATTTTCCATAAGAGAAAGTACAGTCAGCTCAGTTTGTCAGCCGAGTCTTGTTTCCATTCGTTCGAGAACCGCCTTCAGCTACGCTCACTGGTTTCGCGGAGCCGCGGCACCCGTGGCTCCCTTTGCTCTCGTCCGGACGAATTTATTCCGAGCAGCTACTCGGCTATTCTTTCAGAATCAATTCTAGTCGACACTATCCGATTCACTGCTATTTATTATTATTCACCTTTATTTGGCACCAAGGAGAATGTCGAAAAGATGAGAATAGTTGTTTTGTTGATATTTCTACAAGTGCATCTCAAACGTGAGTTACTGGAAGAGTTTGCTGTGATTCATATGCCGTTATGCTTGCCTCCCATCTTCAAGTTCATAGTCATAATTCAGGAGTCCCTTACCGATTTGCTAAGATTTACTTGTTTTTCCGATTACTTATTTGCCTTTGTTATAATCGACGTCCGAAATTTAGAAGTTAAATTCTTTTAGGCACAATTTATGCTGTGAAATACAAAAAACAAGAACAAAAACAAAATAAAGCAGTAAGAATACAATATCCAATTTCCGTAAATCAAAATTCTAATGTGTCTGCCTCGCTCGAAGAATAAATTTCGAGATTTCAATTTTTTAAAATCAAGTTGAATCACAATTTTCCAAGAGTTTTATATTCAAGTACGATAATCAAACAGTCTGAGATATAATATAGTTTTGCAAACTAGGCTTCGTAACTGGCAATTGTTTTTCATGAGAAAAACGCGCTGGGGTCTTTTCGGAGCAAAATCGCTTAGTTTTGTGTAGATTGACCAGAACCATACTTTTTGATGAGTTTTTGATTTTTCTAGAAATCTTTTGTTGAGAGCATCTTTTTGCAAAAGTTCATAATAGTATCTCGTACCATGATGCACACAAAACTTTACTACTCGTAGAGACTCTCGAAACCGGTCATTGCCCTCCTTCATGATTCATACCATAATCCCTTAGACATTTTGATTGCTTACGGACTAAGTTTGTACTCATCTTTTGCCTAGTTACTGTTTACCCAAACTCACATACAGGGAGCAGACTTTCAAAAAAATTTACCAGCTGTTTTTCGTGCACTACTGTATGATTGAGCAAACAAGCTCAACGTAAACACGAAACTACAAAAACATAGTGTAAGAAAAGGCTTACAAACTCGAAATTTCTCACTCTAAGAAAAGGCCCACAAATTCAAAATTTCCCCTTGTCGCAAAAAGCAACCAATTTGTTCTAGGAATACAAGGATCCGTGCAAGAAGATGAAATACAAGGATCTGCGCAAGAAGATGCATTGCATTTTCTCACGCATGATGATTTTCATCGACCAACAGAAGGTGAGTTTTTCTGATAAATAAATAAACAACTTGCTATCAACGGAAACTCGATTTCGTAAACTAGATTAGCAGTGAACTGATTCGTTCTTTGTGCAGTCTTTTTTTATTGCACGGTCTTCTTTATTATTTGAAATTCCTCTTACTTCACGAATCCAGTTATTTTTAATTTAAAAAATTAACTGGAGTCGGGGAAAAATTTTATATGGTTTGGAGCACAAAGTCACTTCGATTAAAAGATAACTGTTGGTTTTTCCGAAAATTGTTTTTTTTTCGTGTTTGTCAGTGCTCTCTTATTATTTTTTAGATGCGGAAGTGTTCCTCACCGAAGAAGATTTTCGTAATGGAGAGCTTCTAACAAGCAAATCCTCCAATACTTCAAAATTTCTCACACGCCAATTATTTTCACATGGCGACATTCGGGGAAAAGCCGCGTGGAAACTGGTGCGTTTCGTTTGAGTTTCTGTTTTCAGAAAAAGTTACGGGAAAAGTTACTATTGTGTATGTTTGCGCTCAGCCGATCATCATGTAATTCGGAGAAAGTAAAAGCGGATGTCGAGAGTTAGTGTCGGTGGCCGCTCGACTGCTGCTGATAATCCGTCGAGTCGATTCCGGTTTGTTACGCGAGCTCACAATAGAATTTTGCGCGTAGGAACCAGGGAACCAGTCGTGACATCGAATCTCTGCTCGCTGCCGTCAGCAATCAGAAGCATGTCCCGTGTGCTGCGAGCTCTTGGGTTTTAGTCTTGGGTTTGGGACATCCCCAGACGTCTACAGTACTAGAGGATAATGAAAGAGAGCATTTTTAGCTACAATACCTTCATTGTTAAGGGTTGTCGAATGGAAAGCTGAAGTTCTGAGCAGCTTTGAATATGCCCTTTTGTTTCTAAGAGTTCTTTATGGAAAAACTTCCATGGCGAGGTGAAAGAAAGCTGGATATAAGAAGGATTACAGGCAATTTACAATAGCAAGAGCCTTAATCAGCATTTGCCCAAGTCCCGCTGCAAAATGTATAATCGGAAACGATAAAATCGCTCCAGAACGTAACTGCCGGGGTCGCCACGCCCATCAACGTAGCTTGAAGGCAGTAATAAAAATGTCGAAAATCTTGTGTTCAACATTCTGATATGCTGGACTTCAATTTTCGGCTAGTTACTTTTAGGCCACCCACATTGGTGGGCGTGGCGACCCCAGTGGCATCTACCTTTTGGTGCAGTTTTCTCGCCTTGGGTACACTTTTTGCGCGGAACTTGGGCTATTATTAGTTAGGGCCCTCTTTTGCATCAAAATCACTCCAACATTTGGGCAACCGGTGCCTTCAAGCCACCACCTTGAAAATAGAAACTAGCTTTACAAGACGGATCATTTTAGAACTCGAGCAGAAATGAATTGACAACAAACCGACTTTGCGTCATGAAAGTGCTGTAAAAACATTTGTTTACCATTTCTAAAAATCGAATGTTTGAACGTTTTGCAGGGAACTCTTTAGCAGATTTGAATCAAAAAATTTTCCAGAATTTTGAACCAGTTTTCATTAGTTTTTTTTTGGTTCTAAATCTTTGTTTTATTTCATTTTTTGTTATCTGATGGTTTGATAGGAAAAAGCACCATGTTGGAAACTCAGTTGCATTTTTCTTTAAATGTCATTTTTCAGAAAACCCGCCGAAAAGGTGCCCGTCGAAATGGAGTCATCGCCGGCATCAAAAAATGGCCCAATGGTCGGATACCTTATGTGCTCAGTGGACAGTACACAGAACGGGAACGTGCAGTACTTGCCAGGAGCTTTCAGGTGATTTTTTACTTTTCAAAAATTGTGGATTTGAACTGTGGCGTTTTAGGAGTATCACAAGAGGACATGTGTCCGATTTGTGCCTCGATCTCCTTTGGATCGCGACTATCTGTACATAGGAAAAATTGACGGGTAAGATATAATCTTAAGTTTTGTCAGAAACGGTTTGAAAACATAGCAGGCACGAGGATCCTAGCCTAATGAGTCCAGCAAAATTTTTCTTGGTCCGCGAAGATTAGCCAAAATAATTTTGTTACTCATCTGCTGCAATGTCTGCAAAATTTCATACAATGATGTAGGAGAAATGATTTTTTGCGATTATTTAGGTATAGTTGAGTAGCTCGATGAGAATGTCTGAATGCTTGAAGAAAATGAGTCATTAAATGTGTAAACACTTATTAAATCACTTTCTACAATTTCTCTCTTTACGCAACTTTTTGATAATTAGGTAATTCGTCTAGCTAACTTGATGAATCAACACTACAACGAATCTAGTTTGTACTCTAATGGGAAGTACTGAGGGACTTCCATTGAAAGTCACTTTTGTCAAGTTTTACAAATTATATGCAATTATTAGGCTGGCTAATAAATGGTTTCTTTTTGATATGCAAATTTGAAACTCTATGAAGATTCAAGTAGATGTCAGCTAAGTTTTTTTTGCTTATTCCGTAGTTTCAAACCTCTGTTATAACATATTCGTTATCCGGAATCATGTATAGCTACTGAAAAAGGTTAAGTTCTTTTATAGCTAACCTTTTAAAAATCACTATTGACTTTCTGAATTTCATTTTTGAGCTGTATGACTGCACGGATGAGTAATTCGGTAAACGTTTATACCACCTTTGCTAGGCGAACCACAAGTTTTTAAATCCAGAAATTTGCGAGTCCAGCCATTTGCATTTGGAGATCAATTTTTAGACAGTTCCGATCGTTTAAGATCATCTATGGCCAAGCAAATATCAAGAAATAACCCAACTTCAGCTCGTTATTCGGAGCATGTTTTCTTGGAAAATGATGGAAATGTCTAACCATTCTAATTTGTACCCCCATATCGTCATCAAAACTCAGTTCTCTCTTAGAATTGACTATCCAACTTTCTTTTATTTACTCTTTCCGATAATACCACAAATTCATGCATAATCCTATCGGTAACAAGTAAAACGACCCGCCAAAATAGTTATCTGCTTGATAGTTTAATGCGTCGAGAATGCTTGCATACATTGAAGCAGCCCAATTTCCGAATTTACTTTTCTTTCTATACTGTTTTCGTTATTCAAAGGGTGTATAAAAATGCACACTATTGTCACATTAGCGTCATAGTGAATGGACTGTCATTGCACAGATTCAGATGTACTAAAAATTTTCGCAATCAAATTCTTTCAACCTTGTCTCAAAATCAGATTCACGGATTTTCAAAGGTGTTGATAGCATAATTATGGGTTTGGATCTAAGCGCAAGCTTAGCTCAAAGTAGTCTGTGATGTTATCAAAACGCTCGCTTTTTTACTAGAAAACATATATTTCATTTTGTTTCCAGATGTTATTCTGATGTTGGCCGAGCTGGAGGAAGACAAGAATTGTCACTTGATGATGGTTGCATGCAGGTATTGTGGCCTTAATGTATTTAAACATCAAAAATTACCATTTCTGAGCTCTACAGTACGACACGGCCATTCACGAGCTGATGCACTCTGTGGGCTTCTATCACGAGCACGAAAGATGGGATCGCGACAGCTACATAAAGATTCTGTGGCAAAACATTGACAGAGGTAAATCCAGAGTTTTGGTGCAGGGTTAACCCATTTGTCTCTTCCAGATGCATACGATCAGTTTGGTAAGGTGGACCTGAGCGAGAGTTCTTACTATGGCCAAGTTTATGACTACTATTCAATCATGCACTATGACAGTCTGGCATTTTCCAAGAACGGTCTTGAGACAATGGTGGCTAGACGTCCTGAAATGACAAGGGTGATAGGGTCAGCGATCAATTTTAGTCCGGTAAGTATACGTTCAGAATTTAGAATTCTGATAAAAGTTGAATTATGAAAAAAATGGCAATTAAAGAAATATCGGGTGTCCGGAAAATCCAAGGATGTATCATTTGTATTATGGTAAATCAAGTTGTATATAAATTTTATCTAAAGAATTCTTCATAACTTCCTCAAAAATCATTTCCAGTCCCAGATTATGTGAAACGTTGTTCTCGACATGTACGGATCACACATGAAGAACCAAATGCTAAAATTTTTTCTGAAAATTTTACGAATTACTTGACATTTGCGTTATCGAAGATTTTGAACTCCCAAAGTGCCTTCGTTTACTACCGATGCTCCCGCAAGTCCCTGAAAAATCTGATGGAAAAGAACAATGAGAGAATTCTGAAAACAAATAATGAGAAAATGAATCGCATGCCATAGGAGATGATGAAGTAAATGTAACAAAGCTTTTTAACAATCTACAAGTGTACTGCCTGGAAAAAAATCCAAAATTGAGCACTTCAACAAATTCAGATAAATTTTTCTAATAACATTATAACTAACAGTAACTACAGTAGAGTAAAACCGTACAAATGGCAGCGTTCAGTACCTTATGTAACCACAAACTGGCTCCTTAACATGTTCACTTTAGCAAATTGTAACGAAAAAAACCTTTATTTCATCTCAAAAGCTCTCACCTCAACATATTTCGCTTCGATTTTTATCGAGATCTTTTTGCTGCTCCGAAATTTGCATGAATCCGTTTGCTAATTTATTCATTTCAAGTTATCGCACTGAATTTTCTTTATTTTAGACCGACATACTCAAAATGAATCTGATGTATAAATGCGGTCACGAAACTATCCCGGATGTTGTGAATTCAAATTCGGTTCCACCAATTCCACCACCACCACTCCTTCCTCCTCCAACACTTCCAGCTGTTCATACTCCTATTGGCAGTGTTCGTCCTATTACTGTAGAAGACGAGGATGACGGTATGTCTCTTCAGTATTTTTCACCAAAAATAAATTTCTCTTTCTTTGTGTGAATTTTCTGATGGGCTACTATCATGCTGTGTTAAATTTTTTGAAAATTGTTTTAGATTGCAAGGACAAAACCAACTTGTGCTGGAGATGGCTCGATCGTTGTAACTCATTCTTTTTCGAAAAGATTATGAAAGAATTCTGTGCTAGTTCCTGTGGTTTCTGTTCACCCAAGATACCCACAGCACCTAAAAAATCCCCTGAAGAAGTTCCACCGAGCTACCTAACCTTGGGCTGAGTACATCTGAATTCATGAATGAATCCGTGAATTTTTGGAATCGGTGTTGACGGTCGTGGTAGCACTTTTCGGGTAAAATGTCTTATCATCGACTCATTGCTAGTCTCGATTTTTTGTAACATCTTGCGCCTTATTTTTTAAAGTCTTTGTTGATTTGTTGTCTTGTTTGCTATGCAATGATTGATTGAATCGAGACCTTTTATAGAGAAAATAAATATTCGAACTTGTATTGAGTCATTCGCCTCATTGCTCGTCCAACTATTTTTGTCATATATTTTTGTAGTCCTCAAAGAGTGCAATGTGAAATGTAACCTGTTGAGGATGCGAATGATTGGCATCATACGCAGAACTTTCACTTTGTATGTGCAGAATGGAGATTATCAGAGATAAGCCTCTGGCGTTACAGAACCTCTGATTCATGCATGAAAAGAGCTGTTAAAGAACGCACACACTCAGAAAGATGTCATAGTTCTAGACACCTAGACACATGCACTCTAAAAGTCGGATTTTTCTTCATGTGCACATCATGCACTTGACGTCATAATGAATACTGAAAAAAATTGACAAGACAAAAGGATCAGGAGAAAAATCTGACGTTGTAAAAAAATGCATACTTACCTGGATCCTAAAATGAGACCATGATAGAATCTGATTAAAGTCACTGGTCAGATGTCAAGCGAATCAAATCAAAAGGGAACGTATGAAATTATCACACTACCATCCAAATCAATAAAAGATTTAAACCCGTAAAAAATTTTATACTTACCTGGACCCTATAATGAGATATCCGAAACAGGTTCTGAAACTTTCATGCGGTTTATAACTCACGGGTCAGAGATCAAGCGGATCAAATGGGAGATGTAAAATCATCATTTAGTAGCTTTATGAAATTCTCAAAATTGGCTCTCATATATTACTAGCAGTTATCAAGGATGTAGTCGTTTTTCACATACTGTACTAAAGGCTTTTTAAGAAGATCATCCGGAATAAACCATTTAGTTGCTATTGCTTAGCACTAGTATCTAAATTAAAATTTATCTCCACTTCCATTTGTGAAGTGTTAATGCTTTGAAGCTGTCTTTTCACATAGAAAATTAGCAGGAACACACAAGCGCGGAAAAATCAGGAATGCCAAATATAATTTCAAAGCATTATGACAATCTATCTATGCCTACTCAGTACAAACACTCGACTAGAGAAAAAAAATGATAACTGTTTTGTTAACGATACAACTATGATACTTTAAAACCATTTCCGATTCACTCGAGTACAAAAAAGAAGGCTTTTGTAAATCGAGAATGCCCACTAGTTACTTTCATACTATTTTAAATCGTGGCAAAAGGGAAAACAACCCTTTAACGAATAAAAACAGTCTGATCCCTTGGCAATTTTATAAAATTCTCAATATGAGCCCAAGTCGGGGACGAGAATATACAGGTATGGGCCTTCTAGTTTCAAGGTTGTGAAGTTTTATTCCCTCTCCTGAACCCAAACCTTCCAACTATAAGGTGCGGTGAAATGGTAAGGTAAATACTAATTTGGAAGATGGAAAACACTGACCAGGTGACCGGGTAAAAGTATATTTTGGTAGCTTCTCCGATCTTGCAATAGAATGCGTTTGGTGAACTCAGACGATATTGAAAACGTTGAATTGTCCGCTTTTCATGAATTGATTAGATTTTAATGAGTTCTACTAGGTAAAAATCATTCCCACATGTGCAAACACCCTTACTTCACTTCTGATGAAGAAAATGTTTGTTTTGATGGTCTGCCAACACCAAAACGAACAGCTCATCACTTATGATAGCGTGCTATTGGATGTATGCACATAATCGTGCGTATTTGAGCATGTTTACATTCGCAGAAATGACGAAAATCATTTCTGCGTCTGTGGATGCCCTTTGAAGAAGGCAATACTCTCGATGACAGACACTTTAGGTGACTAATCAAAGCCAAGCAGAAAAGCTACCGTAAAAAAACAGGATTGCGAAAAAAGGTCTGTTTTTGCAATTCCTCTTCACGAACGACTTCTTACTTATTTTTAATCAATATTCATGTTGAATTCAAGAAGTTTCCAAAGTGTTTCCGTAAGTTATAGTTCAGATAGCATAGCTGAATTTCAAAAATTGTCATCAGACCTAGATCGAGTGAGCCAATGAAACAGCCAATGATAGATGACAAAAACATAGCAAAAAACCTTTTTTTCACTGTCAAAATTGCAGCCAACGAACAGACTTAAAATCAAATGTGCGCCTCTTACATATGTACCACATTCACCGTCTTTTAGGGCCTCTAAAGTCAATGTTTTACTCAAAATTAGAAGACGAAGTGGTTTAGCAGAAACTAGTTGAACACTTCGCATATTGCAGTCAGAGAAGATTATGTCAGAAAAGCATACAGAGCGGGTGACTTTGCCGCTGTCTCTAAGCTTTGAAATCATGGCATTAGAAAAGTTTTCTGCATTTTTTATTTTGTGGAGCCTCTTCACCTGAAAAAGTATTCAGAATATCATTATATACTGCATGTAGAGCTATAGGGAATGGTCATGTTGATTCCAAGTGTTACAAGGTGGAAAAGGTGGAGGCTTTTACCCCTTACAAGGGAAGAATACTTGGTCGAAGTAGCGTTTCCATATGAAATGCCTACTTTCTTAAGAACATGGAACGCTGATTTCAAATCTGCTTTCAATATCTGCAAAGCACTTCTGGGAAGGGAGTTAGGAAAATTTCTTGAAGCAAAAATTCAAGCACGTGGTTACAAAAGAAACATTCAGAACTGTAGTCTGTGAGCCCAAATAGGGCCATAATAACTGCCAGGGGCGCTTTATGCAATTTATACCTTCAGTTCAATATACCAATGTTATTCATTACTCCTTTCAAGCGCCGGAAAGACCTCAACACTTGGTTTCACCTTAGCTAAACGCTTGAGGTTTTACCTCGAAAATTCCCATAACTCCCCTCCCAAAGGCGCTTTGCAGATAGGGAAAACAGATTTGAATGAGTGCTCCATGTTCTATAAGAAACCATACATATCATATGGCAACAGCACTTCGACCAAGTATCCTTGTCTTGTTAAACCCCGAAAATTTTTTTTTACAGAAGTGCATTTGATCAGATAGATCATTCATTCAGCAATGTGGGAAACATTTACATTGCTACTCCCTACAATGCTGCTTTTCAGGCAAATCATTAACGCAGCTGGATACAAAAATTTTTGTCACATATAAGCTTAGGATTCGCAATAATTTTTCTGGATCATTCCATTGATTTCTTCTGCTTGGTATAAGTCAACTCTCAAAAAAATGCTACTACAAAATCAGTACACTTCTTCTTTCTCCGGAGAAATCGCACTCATGATTTCTTAGGCTACAGCCTCTTTTCTTTGCAAAAAAATCCTTTCGTAGTTCATCGCTTGCATGTCTTTCGTTGTAGAAATTTTTTATTTTGTAGAGCAAATTCATTTTTAGCTTGACAATCACATAGTGCACTACCGTAATCCGTAGGGTTACGGTAGACACTCGCAGTAGCTTCTTTCAATGTCGCCCTCCAGTATGGGTTCTAACATCTTCTTTTAAAAGAGCACAGCAAAGTACCATATCAGAAGTTTGGCTAGTAAGCCGTATACTGCTGCCCGTAGATTTTCTTTCAGTTCCAAGAAAACTACCCATCCTGCAAACTCCAAAGAAATCAATAAGTATAACTTATTCTGAAGTGTTTCAGAAAAATGGGAGCACTATACCATAAAGAAAACGAGACGATTGCCCTTGCTTGGCATACAAAGGGAATTGCAGCTGGAATAAGTTAACAATCAAGGCGAAAACGTCCAAATTGAAGCACTTCAGCGCAGCAATCTGTGTTTATAATCTCTCTGTTCGTAATCTTTCCACACGTGGGGAGGAGCTTCACACTTCTTCATCTAACAGTCAATAAGCTCAGTAGAATCTATCATTATCATTAGTCTCCATCGTTTTTCTTATCCCTAAACTTCTCAACACTACTTTCTATCAAATCACACGATGCGCTTGCTTTCTACGAATCCCCAACAAATTAATCCTACAGCACGTCATAAGCTAAATTTTGCATGCAAAGTCTCGCTCTTTGACTTCAAATTCGGCATGGGTGAGCTCTATCAAGAGCTTCTTGAAAGTGTCAAACCACAGTTCATCGAAGAGTTAGTACCAAGGCTCGGCAGAGGTGGCTTATAAGCAATTTGGACATTGTTTTTGGGGAAAAAAGCAGGTGATATCGTTTTTGTGGGTCCGAAATTGTGATTTTTAGTCGACGTTTCGCTTTTATATTTTTAATTTTTATATTTATTTATTTAATATTTTTATGATTATTTTATTTTTTTTACCAAATATTCGGATAAGGGTCAAAGGGGACTTAAAAATTAAAAAATTCGCAAAATAAAAAGAAATTCGTAAAAATTTACGAAAGTCAGGAGGGACTTCGTTTTTTGCATTTTCGGAAAGCCACCTCGTGCCTAGTCCTGGTTAGTACTGCATAGATTAGAATCTTTCGGTTAGTAACTTTTTATGAAAAAAGTCACTTTTTTTATAGTGAACCACCTTTGAAATCTCAGGTACTTGTAGAGTTAATTAGAGCTTATCAAGTTTTGATGCCCTCGGTTATAAGACCTGCAGCTCTGTATAGTCACTAGAATTTTCAACCAACTATGAATCGAACGCTCACAGATAAGTAGAGATTTGTGATGTTTTGCATTCTAATTGTGTGTGCAAAATGTCTTTGATTATATAGCACCTGCCCTAACTCCCTTGAGTCATAGCCACATCATGCACATTTGCTCCTATAACGGATCAAAGATATTGCTGCAAAAAGATGTCTCAAGGCTGCTAAACAATTTTTTCGGAGCCAGAACTCGTCACCAAAAATAACAAAGGGATGAAGGAAAAGCATAATATCTTCATAATCGTATCAAGAATGAATATGAACAAATCCACCTAAGAATTGGGGAGCTAATTGCTCATAATATGCCTATAG